TACATGGAAACAGTACATTGTGTACTGAAATTGAAGTTTCTCACTCTGAAAGCCGTGAAACTTGAATTCCGTGCAGTAGGAGCAGTGACTAGCTGTGGTCACAGAGCTCCCACAGACGGCACACTAGTAAATAATCTGATTTGCTCCTCTGGTAAAAGAGGTGATCCATCCTCACACAGCCTGGTGAACGGGAGGATGTCAGTCTTAGTTGAGAAAAGGGGAATCGTTCATGTAGAACTTGTTCTGTCTTTGGGGAATGTGAAAAAAACAGCAGCTTGAACCGTTTATTACTTCTGCAATACGTTGTGCGGTTCTTCTGACAGCCTGTTCTAGAACGCGGAGTGTATGTGCCGCATGACATGAACAGTGAGATTTTCCTGAATGCGCGTCCATGCAGGCCGGCAGTTCCTTTATCTTTTGAGGTGAATACACCCACTGAGGTTACTGTGGTGGTGGGAAGCAAAGTCAAGCTTACTCCAGAGCCAGATTACGTTAGAAAAACACAACTCCTCTGAGGAAGCAGTGCACATACCACATGCGGACGTGCGTACTGTGTAGGGTGTTAGAGATAAGAAAAACATGAGAACGTGCATCTTGGGGGGATGAGGAGATGGTGAGATTTGTGATGGTCATTTTTCATGTCCTGTGGGAGTTGATCGCGCAGTCTTCAGCAGCGCTCTAGAAAGAGTTGTTCTGCACGACACGCTTTGCCTGTAGCTTAACCTGTTCATTATGACCAAAGAATCATTTGGTCATGACCATAATTTTTCATCCTGAAGCTTTGGCCATCTTTTGATTGGGAATGCCATGCGGTGTGCTTGCAACACTGAAAATGAAGCCAAGGGGAAATCAGTTTATGCTCACAGAGGGCCTGTTTGCTACAGGGAGGAAAATTGCAGCATTTTACAGTGTCTGGAGTTTCTTGGATGCAGGAAGTGTGACGTTTCAGTTCTGACAGAACCTATTGCTGGAATACTGCAGAGCAGCAAGGACAACGTGTGTTTTGGAGGTGGTACTGTCTGCTAGATGGCATCCAAACGGCAAGCTGTGTTGGTGGGAAAGGTCTACCTCCAGGAACTGCATAATGGAATGGAGGCAAGTATTGAGTAGGGTGATAACTACTTTTTTTTTTTTTTAATATTCTTACTGTTTTTCAGACTCGTTACTCTGCTCTGCACTTACATGTCTAGTTGTCACACTTAAATGTCAACATCAAGGTTAACTCTTCTCTACTTTCTAGATGCTGAATGGTATTAAATATATTCCTGATACTGTTTCACTCTTGACAATCATGTAATGTCTCCATATCAACAGGAGAGCTGATCTCCATAACGTTCTGGCTGCCTAAGACAGGAGACAAGCAGAACACCTCTCCATCTGGGCACAGCTTTTGAAGATGGCACGCTTGGGACTTGCAGTGCTGTTTACCAACAAAAACATCCATTTGGGGCTGTGCAGTGTATTTTCCTAAGTGGCTCTTCCTCTACAGGAGCAGGTCTGCTGACAACCCAACATGGTACAGGTTATGTTGAAGGGCTTATTGAAATAACGGGCAGTAAAGGCAGATCGTATGGAGGTACTCTTCCTTTTTTCCCCTCTTAAGCCCAAATCTGGTTTTGATTCAAGTCACAGGAACATGCCTTCCTTTCTTAAGGAATGTATTAAAGAATGAATCAGCAACGTTTTTATTATGAAAACCAAATGAGGAAGCTAAAGTGTTGGATGATGCAAAATAAGTCTTAAAAATGATCTTGCTTCTGCAAGTTGCTTCCCTAAAGTTCATTAGTGCTTTTCTGCACAGGTAACCCTCAAGACAAAGCTGTTGTGTAAATAAATGAAGCACCTGTTGTTTTCTGTGCAGTAGAAGATGCTGGTATGTTACCTGCCAAAGTTTACAATGTTTGGTGAGGAAAATTTTTTTTCTATATCCATTTTATACCAGCATCATATAGGAATAAAAACACTGTTTTATTTAAAAGCACATTTCATTATATGAAGTAATGGTTTGGCATTCAAATGGGCTTATCCCAGGAAATGTTCCTATCCAGTGAACATGCAGACTTCGTTTCCGAGTCAGTAACCACGTTTAGTTAATGAGTAAAAGTATTTTTAAAAGCAATAGGTTAAAGTAAATGCTCTTTTTTGTGTAAGAACACAGTGCATGCACTTTATTGGTAACATCTGGGTGGCTTCAGCTGTCCATCATGTGCCAAATACTTGACAGTCAACCACTTAAGTTTCTTAGGCAGTCTGGAAAAATATGAGACACTCATACAACACTGGTTAATCAGAGACTGAATTTTGGAGAAAATATTGATCATCTCTGTCTCACTTTTTTTGAACGTACAAATTCTGAATAATATTTTTAGAACTTGTTAGTGCCCACCAGTTTGTTACTTTTTGTTACCAAGATACACCCAGCAAGTGAACAGATGACCAACGATACCTGAAGCATTCAGGTTAGCAGGGTGCCGGTAAACGTCATTATAAATACAAAGTTAATTTGCTTTAACTAGTGCAACTGAAGCTTGTGCTTTAGTATAAAAATTAAGTTATAAAATTGTAACAAGTATGCCCGCTTTATTACACCCAGGTGATCTCTGTTTGATTCACTGCAGGTACATCCCGTATGGCGTGAGGGGGAAGGTGGTTGGGTGCGTGTCCCACAGCCAGGGACCCTGCAGGCTGTGGGCACCCGGATCCCCTGTGGGCAGACGGGTGCCATGCTGCTTCTAGCTGCTTCCCCAGCCCGAGCGACTGGGGACCAGCACAGGAGCTGTTGCAGGGACACCATGTAGGCGACACCGACCTCGCAGCACCGGCACACTCGGGAATTTGGTCAGGCTATTACTGTTCATGTTTCAAATATGGAACAAATAAGACCATTGGTGTTATTTTCAAGCATTTGACTATGTCTCTGCTGTCTCCCCTACATCCCTGGGTTTGCCTCACCA